GCCCAGACTGGAGTGCAGTGGCTGCTCCCGGCCACCGCAGCCTCGACCTGTTGGGCTCCGGCAATCCTTCCGCCTCAACCTTCCAAGTAGCCGGAATTACAGGCATGCGCTACCATGCCCGGCTGATTTTTGATCTATTGTAGAGATGAGGTCTCACTGCCCAGGCGGGTCTCGAACCTGCGGGCTCAGGCAATCCACTCACTTCAGCCTCCCAGAGGCGCGGGATTACAGGCTGAGCCACCGAGCCCGGCTACATAATTTCTTTTATAACTCATATTCTTAGGAGAAAACATGTTACTTCCTCCAAAGAAAACAACCATTTCATCCTCTTGATATGAAATTCATGGAGAAATTTTTCATGTGAAACTTGGAATATTTGGCTAAAATGGACTATTTTATGAGTAGAACTGATTACCTAGTATGGAAACTGAAAGGCAAAACAGTACTTTTTTGCTTGGAAGTAGTTATTATTCCTTTAAAAACTGTGTCATCCCTAGAGTCAAACCTGAAGCTTGAGTTAAAAAAAAAAATCCTAAATGTAAACCAACAATTCCCAATCAGCCAGTCATCCTGCTTGCCTCCCTTTCTATGCTCCCTAACAAACACATAGATAGCTTCATTTTCTCCATAGTGAGGAGAAGTTTCTGAAGGAAGTAGTCTATTACCAGGAACTCTTGGCCAGGTGCTGCTCATTAATAAGTAGGGGACAGAGCTGCAAAGATGAAGTGCGGACCCAGATGTGAGACAGTACAGACAGCTGCACAGCCTGTGTCTTGGGGCCATTCCACCGGGGAGGAACAGAAAGGGAAAAGGGGCAACCAAATGACTGTATCAGTGAAACACATCACAACATGAAGCTTTGTCCTTGAAATCCACATCTTTTTCTTGACTTCCACAAAAACCTCACTTTTCATCTTAGGAAAACCCGCTGAATTTTCCTTTCTGTCTTCTTTGGCCTTCTCTTAAATGTAAACCTTTCACTAGATTCTCTCCATGGCAGAAATTTCATTTATATCTATAGTTTAAATGATATCTTTTTGAATGCTTTCTTGGATTAGATCCTTACCCCCATCTTCTCCTGAATTTGCTTTTTAAAAAAATATATACCTAAAAATTGATACTGGCCCAATTTCCCCATAGAACTGGTGTTTATGGATTAAAAAAAGAAGATAGAAATTGACCTTCTTGGTCTTAAAACTTACATTTGCCTTATCTGAGTTCCTTCCTTAGGAGACTCGACCTCACACAAGGTCCTAAAACTCACCAGAACATAGCATCCAGACAAGGAGATGCCAGAGCCCTCAAGGTCATGATTGCTTCCTTACTCCTTCTTCCTAATTGTTGTTTTACATTCCTTCCCCTACTATGTAAACCCCCAATTTCAATAGTTTGGAGAGACAAATTTGAGACTGACCTCCCATTCTCTGGCATCAGGCCATTAAAAAGCCTTTTACCCTGGCAATACTCATTGTCTCAGTGATTTGCTTTCTCTGCAGTAGGCAACAGGACTTCAACAAAACCCCTAGCATTTTGGGAGTAAAGTTAGTGCCATTGTTACTCTCCCTAGTGCAACAGGTAACATTATTTTCATTCTTCCACTCCCCACAACACACACTTCCAACTGATTATGGTCCCTTTGCACACAGAAAGCCTTATTTCCCATTGACATGTCTAAGGACCTTGTCACAGTTCAGAAAGTCACCCACCATTCCACCATCTCCCATCCAGGTAATGACCTTCCATCTAATGTACGTTTACTGCCAATGTTCATCATTTCCCAGCTTTCTGGTGACACTGGTCTTTTTTTCTAAAACTCATACTTCTCCCTTTGCTTGAAAATTTCTAACAGCTCTTCAGCAGAATCCCAGAGGATCAAATCCAAAACTTTTCAGCAGAGTTTACTGAAATCTGAGATCAATACATTTACTACTTTCCACAAAACCTCTCTAGTCATACTAAACCATTTCCCCTCATTGTCTCTCTCCCATCCCCACCAAAGTTGTTTCCTGCTTCCCAGAACATGGCCTGTAATACTCATCTTTTAACACTCAGTTTAAATACCACCTCCTGCAGTAATATGCCTGAATCCTTGAGTAACAATTCATTGTACCCTTGACTACAAACCAAGCATCCTTAACTGTACCCTTGCTATAAAAATCACATTTATAGTACTCTGGCTTTATTTTGAATGTTTACATACCCAGCAGTGCCTTTGCTCTCAGGAAGTTTATAATTATCTAGGACACCCTGCTTTATTCACATTTCTAACTTCCAAGGGATAAGATATTCAAAATGCTTAAGTATTGTGGGTGGTCTATAAATAAGAGAGGATTAGATAATTTTTATTTTTTTAGTCAGGGTCTCACTCTATTACCCAGGCTGGAGTGCAGTGGCATGATTATGACGATCATGGCTCATGGCAGCCTTGACCTATTGGGCTCAGGTGATCCTTCTACCACAGCATTCCAAGTAGCTGGAACTATAGGCGTATGCCACCATGCCTAGCTAATTTTTTGATCTTTTGTAGAAACAAGGTTTTACTGTGTGGTTCAGCCTGGTCTCAAACTGCTGGGCTCAAGCAATTCAACTGTCTTGGCTTCACAAAGTGCTGGGATTATAGGTGTGAGCTACTGTGCCCGGCCTGGATGATTTTTAAAAGTCAAATAGCACAATGAAAGACTCTGAACATAGGGTTGAGGACACCATTTTAGAAAATATTTTCTGAATTACAAATGACAATAGCGAGACTGTTCCAATGTGGAAGACAGCAAGAATAAAAGGAGAGAAGATGAGAAAAGGAAAAAAAGTATAGGTGGAAGTGTTATTTTTCTCTTTGCATTTAAACACAAATTTGTTTGACCATTTTATAAAAATCAAGTAAGTATTTACATCTGAGTGTGGGTAAGATCCTTTATAGAGAGATGGGACATTGAGGCTTTTTTGTTACCAGGAAGCAGCGTTTATTTGTGCTGGTATTGACCCAGTAGATTCACATCCAAAGGCTGATCCCCTAATGCAGCAGTGAGTTGCCTTATATTACTTCTACCACTTTGTCCCCCTTACATGGCAACCTGCATTTTGATTGGGCATTTTATGGCACAGGGTTGTAACAGGGTTATGCATGCACACTTAGACATTGACTATGTCACGTTACTTCCTCTTTGTTCTGGGAAGACCCTTATCACATGAGGAAAAATGTTGCATTTGTTTTAATAAATCAGATTACAAAATGCATTTGCAATTTTCACATGAACGGCTCTTATGGCATAAGTATATCTTATAGTAGATCTTCCATGAGGAATAGAAAATGTGCCTTCTGTTGCCATCGTAATGCTCATCTTTCTTCTCTTACTTCCCAGTCACCGCTCTACTTCAATGTAACCTTTACCTATTCACCTTGTCCCTTCTGCTGAGATAGTGATGTCCACTCTGCCTCTTCTCTGGGTGGGCTCAAACTTTGGTGCTGTAGCAGGATCAAGGAAGGAAACCAAGGCTGCAGCTCACTGAACACATGCTCTGTGGAGTCTCCTTCCCCACACAGCAATGCCAGCCAGTGGTAGGCACACCAACATTGCTTTGTGACATTTGTTTTATTTACCCTGGCCATAAGAAAATCACTAATGGGAGAAACAGGCAAGGCTGTGCGCATAAAATTCCCTGGATTACAGGTTCAAATTTTCTCCTCAGTTCAGACCCTCAGACTGTTCTATGCTTAAACCCCACCCTTGTTCCACTCCTATTCTAGCGATCATCATGTCAAAATGACTTTCCTCTCCATCATGCCTGCTTACTGCTCCCCAAGTATCTTTTTAAGGCAGATGTGAAATGTGAACATGTAAAATATTCTGAAACAGGCTGGACCACAGACAGAACCTGTTACAACTACATTTTCTGTATATATCACTTAGCAATTTTCCTTATTTTAATTCAAAAACCAATTTTCCGCTGATCAGTATTCTCCATCTCTGCTCAATAAACACACATTTCTCAGTCTTCTTTGTCTACCTAGCAGATCACTTTCACCTCCCTGAAACCT